CAAAAATGCAATGCACTATGTTCCAGATCTGCTCCAGAAAATGGTGTGAACCTGCCCGCAGTTCCAGTGCATTTCAGGCCAGGCAAAATGAGACGTGCAGTATTTTTCTGATCTGGTCTGGTCTGGAATGGACTGCGCTGGTGAAAACAGAGGTCAGAAATCGCATAGGGATACATTAGGATGTATTTTGGATCTGGAAACAATCTGGTCTGGTCTGGAGATGATGTGGTGTGAATGGGCCCTGATAAAAGACACTCAAACATTTTAAGATTGCTGTTCATTGGAAGCATCAACTGATGTGAACCATGTCTCGCAAAAAGGAGCTCTCTGAAAACATATAATCAAGATTAGTTGATCTGCATAAATTGCCCATACACCTTACAATTATCTGGAGATTTTTGTTTTCATGCGAAAATCTGCCAGTTGATGGGAAGTGCACAACCTCAATTAAGTCCTCAGGGGCAGGGCCCTCTTTACCGTCTTGTCTTGAATTGTATTGTGATTGTCTTCCTTATATTGTAAAGCGCTGCGCAAACTAAATACTGTATAATAATACTGTACAACTGGCAGATTTTTGTCTTTCAAGCAGGCTAAAAAACTTTCGTCTGGTTAGACAAAAACGAAATGTTATTGGCGTTGTTATACAAAAACAATAATCTCAAGAGGAAAACTGCACATGCTCAAACAAAAAGCTGTTCAATGAAAATCGGCTAGGTGGTGGTGCTGGCGAGCGTTGCACTGCACTGTTTGAAAAATACAGCAAGGTGAGCCAGGAGAGAGAGCGGGGAGAGACAGACAGGAGAGAGAGCAAGGAAAGACAGCCAGGAAAGAGAGAGAGGAGAGACAGCCAAGAGAGCAAGGAGAGACCGCCAGGAAAGAGAGAGAGGAGAGTCAGCCGGGGGGAGAGAGCAAGGAGAGACAGCCAGGAAAGAGAGAGAGGAGAGACAGCCAAGAGAGCAAGCAAGGAGAGGCAGCCAAGAGAGCAAGGAGAGACCGCCAGGAAAGAGAGAGAGGAGAGTCAGCCGGGGGGAGAGAGCAAGGAGAGACAGTCTAGAGAGCAAAAAGAGACAGCCAGGAGAGAAAACGAGGAATGACAGGCAGGATAGAGAGAGCCGCGAGGAGAGACAGCCAGGAGAGAGTGAGGGAGTTTGTTTTTCGTTGGTAGATCTCATATAGCTCGTCCTTTGAGAAGTCGATCTTAACACAAAAATTGTGGGCACCCCTGGCCTAGAAGATAGTCACCCTGACATTGTCTGCCAGCTAAAGCTTAGCAGAAGTTGGGTGATGCAGCAGGACAATGACCCTAAGCATCGAAGTAAACCCACCACAGACTGGCTTCAGAAAAAGAAAATGCACCTTTTTGGAGTTGTCCAGCCAGAGCCCAGACCTTAACCCCATAGAGATGCTGTGGAATAACCTTAAGAGAGCCATTCACACAAGACGTCCTACAAATGTGTCTGAGCTGAAGCAGTTTTGTAAAGAGGAATGGTAAAAAAATTCCTCCTGAACAATGTGCAGGTTTGATCCAGAACCACCGAAAGCACTTGCTTGAAGTCATTGCTGCCAAAGCAGGTTTGACCAGCTATTAACTCTAAGGGTTCACCTCCAACACTGTGAATGTTTAATGGATGCGATCAATAAAGTCACGAGAAATTTGAACATTTTTTCTCCCACACATTATATTTCTCTATTGTGGGTTAGATGAGGATTAGATCATATTTTATGGCAAATTACTGCAGAAAACCACTTAATTTCAAGAGGGTCACATACTTTTTCTTGCCACTGTATAAGGGTATTTTAAATTAATGACAGGAGGAAGGAGTAGGTTTTTATTTATTTTTTTAAAGTAAGTTACCGTATGTTTTTGTGAAAATGTTGTATATAGTACAATAGACAGTAAAAGCAATTGTGAGTGATTCAGCTTAAAGGTGTCTTTTACAGGTACAAACTGTAGATGTTGGAAGTGCTCCCTAGTGTTAAAAGGGAACCTTCTACAGGTACAAGTAGGTTTATACTGTGACTACATCTGTAAGAAATCAAAACTTGTATTCATTTCTCCTGTCTGGCAACTCACAACATAAAATAGTGTTTCCTTAAATGTGGCACAACCGTTTAAGATGCTTATCCTTATAATGAAAACCTCTCACCTTGCTCATTCATGGCAATGTGACAGGGTCTCTTAAAAGCTCCCTTAATCTATGGATTTACTGTGTTGCTTCAAAGCTCATTCCACCATGGCAGCCATGCAAAATACCATGTATCAGAGTTTACAGAGAGCAGTGACATCACCCCCTCCGTTATATGACAGTGTTTGGGGTTAAGGATTGGCAACTAGGCCCGAGCACTGCATCATGGATGGAGGTTACATACTTTCCATACAGTAAGGCACTGGGAATTATGTTAATGACTGGTGCAGTGGGGGATCATTGTGGAGGTCGTGCAAGTCATGTACAAGTTGTGTGCTCCCACAATAGTGGGTTTTCGGATGAATTTGCAGGGAGTCAAGGAAATTCTTCTTCGTTCAAATCCCCAACAACAGATACTTGACTACCCTCCTACGTCATATAACGGAGAACATTAAAGTGAGGTCCACACTCTATTCTGATTCATGGAGGTCATACTACTAAAGCGAAACAGAGGAGAGAGGATTCGACAACATCAAGGTCAATCATAAGTATCCCTTAATTGACCCAGATACAGAAGCGGTTGAGAAGACTATAGGGCATATATATAATTCATCTTCATAGCACGGTATTATTGTTTATAGAAATCCATAGCGCCGCATATCATTATTTTATAAGTATACAGTACTTGTGTGGGCTGGCAGCTGTGGTATTTTAGAACTTGGATACTGTTTAGCACAGAAGTTGTTTTTGGATTCTTCTAGTCAAGTTTCTGTATTAACTAATAAAAAAGCAGAAAAAAAAATTGTGACATTCCAATTCAGTAACTCATATCACTCAATCAGCATTCATCTTCTTTTGATGTGAGTTAGATGAGGCCTGGTTACCGTGATTGACTGTACTTTGAACAATGCCTGTACTCTTTGCTCTGCTTTAATAAAGAAGCCTGAATGGTCATACATTACGGACTATCTGAGCCCACGTTTGGTGTACTTTGGTACACAAAATAACAATATCAGCAGTTTCTGTTTATGGAAGCATTTGGTGGTGAGTTACATTGGACTGCTGTAATTTATCTGTAAAAAATGAATAAAAATGAAATGGCAAAGGAAAGGACTTCTCTGTGCAAGAGGTGTTCTATTCTCCCAGACCCTGCACAGGTCACTTTCCTGCACTTTACAAATAACTATTCCGTCAACGTTGACTCTGTGTGGTCTCATTTTGATGCAGCTATTCCCTCCGGGCACTCCTAATTTTAATTGACTTGTGCACCATCGTTCGAAGAGCTGCTCAGTTGCCATTTAGTTAAAAGATTTACTTTTAGATATCCTACGGCACTCGTGTTCTTGAAACTGAGCGGCTTGTTTATGTTTGGCCAATGCAATCTGCTTTTCAGACGCTGTTCCATTAAGTGACTATTGGGTCTGCAATCCAATTTAGGATATCGGCTTAATCCCCTTGGACATGCAAGCTTGAGTGATTATTGACTTGTCATTGCAAAGCTGATACTCTGCTTCCAGCTGAACATAATACTACACATGAGGCTGGTTGGGAAGTAAGCAGCAATGATCAGGGTTCTTGGCTAACTAAAGGGGACTAAAAGATATTCAATTTTTTTACTCAGCCCTTTAAAGTCCAACTCCAACCATTTTTTTGTGTGTTTAGCGTAGGAATATCAGAACCTCATTGAGCTTTTATTGCTGTGTCCCCATTAGAGAAAGTCCCCTTCATTTCCATCCCAATGACAGGAAATGTCACAGATACAGGAAATACTATCAATAGGTATAGAAAATATTACAAAAATATATATATTTTTTGTTTAGTTTTCTTTTAGCAGAGCATTAGAACCCCATTTGCCATTTGCCTTGTGTCACGCCTCCCCCTAATATTTTGTCCTGGTTCCACCTGGACAGGATGAGGTATTTTCCCAAATGAGACCTAAACATAAAGAAAAACCTAGTACAAGTTCTTTCCCATCCACACTCATGACAAACATGAACATGAACAAAAAAAGGTTTGGGCTAGAATTCCAGTTGACTTCACCTAAAATCGACATGTTAGAATTGGCTGGGCAGCTATGGGCTCAATCTCTCAGAAACATCATTGGCAGTTTTTCCCCCCAGATGTTTGTCTTTCTGCTCACTTTTGCAGGGGGACTAAGAGAAAACTGTAAGTGCAGTGCACTTGTAATTAGGTGCTGCAGCAAATATTTTATCTTATTGGAATGCCATAGTTCTACTTTAAGTTAATTAAGCTATATCAAGATTTTAGATTAATGGCGGGTCAGGTAGCTCAACTGGTATTGTTATCTGCAGTCAAGGAAATGACCTAGACTGATTCTATCACATATGAGCTTTAATGGCAAGAATCAATGTGGTAATGCAATCAAAGTTACTCCCAGGCAGCATATTGATTGATTATTACCTATGAAAGGTTAAATCACAGTTGCAGTTTAGCAGCGTGACTTAGCAGCTGTCTCAGTGAGGCAGAGGCAGGTCTATGAACAGTCCTGATCCATCATGTCCCCCGTCTCAAGCTAACCATCTGCCTCCATAAAGAAAATACACAAATAGTAGCATATGTATTCTGAGTGCTAGGAAAAACTAAAGCCAGAAGGAAGTGACAGCTTTATTTTTTAACTGTTTAGAAGGCCAATTAGGAAAAATGATCATGTGCAAAGGTTCAGAACACTAGGAAATCTAGAGTTTAAAAAAAAAAAAAGCCAAGCAAAATGTTACTATTTTATAGGAAGAGGACCAGAGCTATATATTACAGGATGTAAAGTGAATACATGCATATAATAACAGTGTTCTATATACTTGCAAACCATCTATTTTTAAGACCTAATTAACTTTTGTGTTGTTTTTATGCCTACAGAATGCAGTAGTATCTTTCAAAGAGCTGTGTGGACTCTCTCCTGTAGCTAATCTTATGCAATGTATAATGGCCTTGTCAACCCGCCTAGCTGGACCTGACAACACCCCCGTGGTGGTTATGAACCTCTGTGATCAATACCCAACCATGGAGCTACAAGGCACCGTGCCAGAGGTCATGAAGAGGATCTTAACAGCTTATGACTCCGTGAGTATATCATGCCTTCTGCTGTTGTCTTTAGAGACACCTTACATGCACAAGTATGCATCTGTAATAATCCAAATCCACTTTTAAATTGCTATACAGAGCATTGCCACTTCATTTTACATGATTTATGTGTTATTTGTTTTTTTCTTTTCTTGCTGTCAGAGCAGAAGCAATAGGGTGTAAGGCTGTCCTGTCTTCCTGAGCGTAGGTTTAAACTCAGACACTTCAACTGTCGCATAATAAAGATGGTGCCCTCATTATAGGAAATTAAATCAAAGGCTTTGAGAATGGGCAGTTTAACCTTCCTCCAGTCTGGAGACTGTCATTCTTCAGCCCTGAGCTCCATCGAGAGTCAGCTCACTCTCCATGGGGGTCTCCCAGCCTTAATTTGAGCTGGTATTTCTCCTCTTACAGGAAGATAATACAAGATAATACCAGCACACATGCCATCTCTGAGAGGTAAGATTGCACTTTTACAACAGCATAAAAGTGGAGATTCAGATTTCTGTGTATGCCCATCCCAGACTGGTTCCAATGCTAAGGAAATGATAATGTTAACAGTGTTTTTATTTGTATGAATTTCATATATGTCATACTGATCAAGCTGTTCTAATGCATTGCTTTGAGGTGTTTTGTTTTCTTAATCTGGGTTCTTACAGCTGCTGAGTGTGCATGTGCTGGATTTCATTTTAAACACATCCATTGAGCAGACCTCCTTTTCTTGTAAGAGGGGAGTTGCCAACAATAAAAAAAAAGGGGATACAGTTTTAATCAGGCATGTAAATACAGGCAATACAGGACACCTAATGTTTTTAAATGTTTGGACATTGACTTGTAGTAGACATCAGATTATTTTTTCAATGGCATTTCCTTATGGGTTGCAGTTCTGCTTTAAACTGCTATCATAATGCTGTGTCATCAGTAGCTGACTCCGAAAAAACTGTTTCATGTTGCAAAATCAAATGTTTTTCTTGTCCTTTCTTCCTCATTTTTCTATATTGTGACAACAGTCTATGAGAATTTAAACACATAAAGAGATCATACATGCTGTAACTTTGTTGTACTTGTGCATTTCAGACTACACACACACACACACACACACACATACACACACTGTGTATGTATATATGTGTATCTCAGAAAGAGGAAACACAGTGACATTGTCTTTCTGGTTTTGTGACAAAAAGGAGCTGTGTCCTCCATACTCTACTGCACATAATGCCCACCACCCTGCCATCCTCATTTGTCTCCTGCATATACTACCCCCTCTCATACCCTCCACACTTCTCTCCTTCACATACTTCCCTCTGTCATATCCTTCACTGCACATAATTACTTCCATTATACTCGCTCCACTCCTCTTCTGCACATAATGCTTAACGTCATACCATCCCCACCTATCTCCTGCACACATTACCCCCTTATATACTCTCTGCACTTCTCTCCTACACATACTGTTCATCTTCATACCTTCTTCATTTCTCTCACACTCATAATGGCTGCCATCGTAGCCGCAGTGCTCTTCTCCTGCACATACTTCCCCCTCACGCCCATCATCGTGCACTCTGTCACACATATGCCTGGCATCAAACCCTCAGCGCTACTGTCCTGTACATACTTTCTGCTAAAGCACTTCAGTGTGTAGTATCCTATTGTAACCAATCAAACATTTTCTTTTATGAGTGTGACTACACTAAATTATCTTTTGTTGATGTGGGTGATTACATAGATGCTGTGCTCACTGTTAGGGTCAGTTCCGACGGCCTTCAATGGGCAAATGCAGCTTGCTTTTGACTTCAGTTTGAGACATTTCTGAGACCATTAACAATTCATTGCAGCTGCAATTGACCTGCATTTAACTTGCTTCAAGCTGCTTTTGCATTCCCATACACTTGTTGGTGAGAGTAGTCGTTTTGAAGCAAGCAAAAGCAAGTCAACATTTAAGTTGCCTACAAACATTAGACAGTGGCAGGCTGACTATGCAGGACCCAGCAATAGAACTATCTTTCTATAGAAGCACCTTTCTATACAAATTAAAATTCTCATCTTGTGAACTCGCCTGTCTGTGCTTAGGAAGGTGGAAATGGGGAATGCTGTTTGCACTTGTCTATATCTGGGGGAAGCTGAAGTGATCAGCTGAAAAAAAACCTTCATGGCCAATGGTAAGGATCAGCCATGGTCATAGAGATGCCTGCAAACCTGCAAACATTCCCTAATTCCACCTTTAAGAGCTGAATCAGGCAAACATTCTTTAATGTCTGCAGGCACCTTTAGTAAATAAAGCCACTTCTGGATGAACAGGATGAAAAGTTAATATTTATAAACCTTGTTCACGCTTATATTGCCTTCATGTATGACCTACATAAGGCCAACACTAAGAGACTAACGTGTAGAGAAAATTGTTTGCCTAGTAAGCTGTTTTAAATTTCATTGTGTTTGCTTAGTAGTTTAAACACTGTTTTTACAGTAGCAGGAGAGAACAGAACCTACAGGAACTTTTGCGAAGTTATGTTGTTATATTTCATAGCCAGTGCAATCATTTTTAAGCTAATTAGATTTCTTTTGTCTATTTCAAGTTTTTTAACTGCAGCTCCAGTCAATAAGGCAGTCAGCTAATGTTATCTGCGTAGCATTGCAACTGTGCTAAATCCAGCAAAGCAAGGCCATCTAATTATCTTACCGTAGTTACACTGCCAGGGTAGCAGAAAGTTCTGTTCCAGTGCTGTGTCCGTTGAAATTTCCAGGAGTGTTGGGTGCTCGTATCCCCCACTGTGCGCCATGTTTCTATCTTCCAACCCCTACACTACACCAGGACAAAGCAGTGATTAGGGATGAGCCAAACATCCCGCGATATCGCTGCAAATTACCACGCGATATCGCACTCCAATGCAATCCAATGGGGCAAAGGGTCCTGCTGTCGCGGGTTGTGTGTCGCTAAAGCAGGACCCTTTTTGTAGCGGATTTAGCTGCGATTAAAGCTTGCTCAATGCAAGCTTGAACGCGACATCGCGCGGCAAATCTCGCGATGTCGCGCAATATGCAAATCGCGCGACAAACGCGCGATTTGCATATCGCGCAGTGGGAACGGGGCCTAAAGTGGCGCATCTGTATGATGTATAGAACCTGCTGAAGCAAAAATGACATTTATATACATTTTATTGATATTTATATAGAACTCTAATATATACAGAAGTCTGATCTACAGAAGATCTACAGAAGTCTGAGATATATGATATATACCTATATCTCAGACTTCTGTAGATCAGACTTCTGTATATATTAGAGTTCTATAAAAATATCAATAAAATGTATATAAATGTCATTTTTGCTTATCTTACCGTAGTTACACTGCCAGGGTAGCAGAAAGTTCTGTTCCAGTGCTGTGTCCGTTGAAATTTCCAGGAGTGTTGGGTGCTCGTATCCCCCACTGGGCGCCATGTTTCTATCTTCCAACCCCTACACTACACCAGGACAAAGCAGTGATTAGGGATGAGCCAAACATCCCGCGATATCGCTGCAAATTACCACGCGATATCGCACTCCAATGCAATCCAATGGGGCAAAGGGTCCTGCTGTCGCGGGTTGTGTGTCGCTAAAGCAGGACCCTTTTTGTAGCGGATTTAGCTGCGATTAAAGCTTGCTCAATGCAAGCTTGAACGCGACATCGCGCGGCAAATCTCGCGATGTCGCGCAATATGCAAATCGCGCGACAAACGCGCGATTTGCATATCGCGCAGTGGGAACGGGGCCTAAAGTGGCGCATCTGTATGATGTATAGAACCTGCTGAAGCAAAAATGACATTTATATACATTTTATTGATATTTATATAGAACTCTAATATATACAGAAGTCTGATCTACAGAAGATCTACAGAAGTCTGAGATATATGATATATACCTATATCTCAGACTTCTGTAGATCAGACTTCTGTATATATTAGAGTTCTATAAAAATATCAATAAAATGTATATAAATGTCATTTTTGCTTCAGCAGGTTCTATACATCATACAGATGCGCCACTTTACGGTCAGTGAAAGGGGACCCCCCAGGCACCATATATAAAGGAATTTTTTATTTTGAATGTTTCATTTTAAGTGATGTTAAATCACTGCTCCTTTAAAAATGATATTTTTTAAAAGTGTTTTTTTCATTGATACATGTCCCCCAGGGCAGTACCCGGAATAAATATACAGTATATATAATCAGACTTCTGCATATATATATATATATATATACACACAGAAGTCTATTATAACTATCTATAACTCTCTATCAATCTGCTGTAACTAACTATACTAGAACCCTGTCTCTCTATCTCCTACAACACACTACATAGGGCCGCGGTGTCAGCAGCCTTATATAGTGTGCTGCAGGGACTTAGCTGTGAGACATGATTGGGCAGAGTCATCGTGACTTTGCCCAATCATGGCTCTATATTTGTACTGAGCCCTGATTGGCACAGTCTTGCACCTGACCTGTGGTCAGGTGCAAGACTGTAGCCAATTACCGTTTCGGACGGCGCAGTGCATTGTGGGATGTCCCGCGGTCGAACAGACCGCGGACATCCCATAATGTTTGGCGTTCGGCGAACGCTAGAACATGCTATGTTCGAGTCGAACATAGGCTCGACTCGAACGTGCAGCCCATCCCTAGCAGTGATATGGAAGTCAGAGGATGAAACCTTGACTCAGTAGAGTCAGGAGTCCAACACCTCTAGAAATGTAGAATGCTAGCTTCTAATGCTAGTGGGTAGCTTCTTCATGATAGTTCAAGTTACGACTTATTCATTTAAAAGTATAACTATTATAGCAAAAATGGTTTTGTTTTGAATAGCATAGGAATGGTTAAAACCTGTTTTCAGGATTTTTTTTTTGTGTCCCACTGGTAAAGTTTCTGTACCAAAGACACAACAGCAGTTGAGAGGAGATCTCCGCAAAGTGAGTAAGTCAGAAGACCTAGCGCCCCTATTGAAATATCCTTTTCATATATTGTAGTAGT